TAATTATGCACAGATCATTATCAATTTTAAAGGCATTATAGTGAATCTTGACACTGTTACTACATGTTTATAAGTCATAATTAATTATAGCTCCTTATTAGAGCCTTATGAAGCATTATTAGAGTTTATACACATGCTTACAAAGCACTGCTACCAAGTTACAAAGAGTTTTAAGTACATTTATAATGGTTTATGAAAACAGCCTTCCTAGAAATGCTCAAGTATTACTTTTAAAATATCTGATTTAGTGCTTATGCATGCGTTATGTAAGTGGCCTTCAAATAAAGTGTTACCAAACTGGATGCATTTTGAGTTGCAGTGCACTATATTTTCTGCAGGAGCATCATAGGATCCATCTATTTGTCTTCATTTACCAAAAAATCCAAGAACAATAAAAAACAAAACAGCACTTCAGATATGATAATTGGCTCTCAATGTTTACCTAAAACAGCCTGCAAAAAGCCAGCTGATGTTTACAACTTAAGTCAGAGAAACAGAGGAACATACTGTATTGGAATGAGTTCTTTTCTGTGTATTAAGAGCAATAGGTTCTGCTGAGAGGCTCCATTTCCTTCTTTTCTCCCTGTGGGTGTGGCAGTGTGTGTGTGATCACAAGCCTCTTTGAAGATATCTCACTTTAAGCCTTTAAGTGCTTTGGAAAGAGCAGCAAACCTGTCATTTATAGGGTGTCGACTAATAGGCCTTTTTTTTTTCAACAGAGGTGTTTTTGTTGACCTGTGGCACTCGTTCTCCCTCTTTTGCGGCCTTCAGAAGGTGAGGGGTTAATGGAAGTGTGTGTGTGTTTGTGTCGAGTCGCATTAGGCCCTTTAATTGTGTTAGACTCGTGTCCCAATTACAAGGTAGGAAGCCAGCACAGGATGCAACAGGAGAAAAAAAAAAGATGCCGAGTTCCTAAAACCCTGCATTGAATAAAGCTTATAGTTATAAAGGGAGAAAGAGTTCATTTCTGCTTTAGACATTAAAGATCTCCCTTGTTCTTCAATCATCTGCAAATTCACTTTCTTATAAGTTTATTTCCAAACACAGCAGCAAACTGTGGAGTAAAGTGCATCAGATACTGCTGACCTTGTAACATCTGTCAAAACATCCTCTGCTATTACATAAATGTCATCAGGATTCAATAAAGCAGAGGCCAGGTCAGAAAAAACAACTTCTGTAGGCCAGCCATCAGAATCAAACAGGTTGCTAGGAGGGGCCCTTGCAGAGTGACCAGAGATCATCCTCTGACTTTTCTAATGTCCTAGCCCTGCTCCTGGAGAACTTCCCACCAGACTTTCCGATCCTGATCTTCAGGAGCATCTCACAAACAGATATAATCTATTAAAGGCCACTTATCATGGAAAACTGAATTTTCCCTGCCTTCCTTTTTCAAATAATCTGTTATGCATTGTTTTAAAACATACCACTTACTCCCCAGTCCATACAGTCCATATATGGACACTAAGTTGCAAAAACAGCTTGGTTTGAATTCATTCTTTATTGAATGTCCTGAAAGTGTATTTACCTCTATGCGCCTGTTCAGCCTATAGCAGTGTAGCTCCGCCCATCCATGGTGATTTTTTTCAGGCACAATACAGGGTAGCCAGTCAGAACAAAGGTCATTTACATATATTAGCCATAAAGGCAAAGGAACACAATCAGCCTGTTTAATTCTAAGGGATAAAAAGGCTGGAAAATAGTCAAGTAAAAAATTAATTATGACTAAAAAATTAATTAAAACACAAGAATTATGTAGGACGTGAACTCTTTAAAGGAACACCCAGGTGTTTTTTTAACCCAATCTCTATCTGCTGCATGTGAAGCCATGGACAGTCATTTGACATTTTCTTGTATTAAGGAAAGAACAGAAAACCCCCTTCACTCGAAAAAACACTTCTTAATACAAACAAAATGTGTCAGCAAATTATACAACGGTTTGAGAATAACATAACAATTCAATGAGTAATTGCAAGCATTAGGTATCTCACCTTCTACAATGCATGATAACTAAACGGCTGAGCCCAAACCCTGAAAAACTGCCCCAGACCATTATCCCTCCTCCACCAAACTGTTGGTGCTATGCATTCCACTAGGCAGCACTCTCCTGGCATCCGCCAAACCCAGATTCACCCATCAGACTTCCAGATAGTAAAGCATGACTTATCACCCCAGAGAGCACATTTCCACTGCTCCAGAGTCCAGTGGCGGTGTGCTTTACACCCCTCCAGCCGACGCTTGGCATTGCGCAGTGATCTTAGGCTTGTGCGCAGACGCTCAGCAATGAAAACTCCTGAAGCAGAGTTGTTGTGCTGATGTTGCTTCCAGAAAACAAGGATAGACAATTTTTTGTGAGATTTGCTACTTTGTGCGTTTGCATGGTCTAACACTTCAAGGCCGAACTGTTGTTGCTTCTAGACGCTTCCATTTCACAATAACAGCGCTTACAGTTGACTGGGGAAGATCTTTCAGGGCAGAAACGGCATCCTATAACATTACCACATTTAAAGTCACTGAGCATGTCAGTATGATCCATTCAATGTTTGCTCATGGAGATTTTTTTTGGAGTGATAATTTCAAGGACTACCTCTGTCACAAGCTGAGATTTGCAGAAGGGCTAGAGGTCCTAGATCAGCATATTGTGAAAGGTCAACTCGTAGGCTACTTTCAGTGTGATGACAGAATAAGACAGCTGTGACAGCATCATTCAGCACCCCTGCAGGTCAGGGTTAATGGTTTAGCGCTCAGTTTTATGCACCGGTAAAGGAGGTGCTTTGTCTAGCTGATGATTTATAGACGGTAAAACACCTACGTAATAGTTCATACGTAATAGCGTAGCTGGTTTATAACATTGTGTTGGAACTTTGGGCGTGTACACATACCTGGACACCAGCCCACACTTATGTCATGTAACGAGGAGGTCATTTTCACCTCAGAGGATCTATGCAACGTTGTGTACACAATATTTATGCTTTCCTGTCATGTGAGGGAAAACAGTGTAGGACTAGAGCTTTAAAAGCGTTTCAGCACGCACTCGCCCACTTTCCTGTCAGCCTGACAGGGCGACCTCAGAGCTATTTATGATCATAGGGGAACCATTAACTTACAATTAGACCCTCACAGTTTCATGTTTTTCTAACTGGCCTGAAGCCCATTACATTGTTTGAACAGCACCCGTTAGCTCTACAAGGATCGAAGGGAGGTGGGGAAAGTTATGTTTGGAGACCAGCAGGGGGTGAATCAAATGTCCATGAAAAAGCACATTGAGTAGTACAAGGCTTGTGCCACATTAGTAGACAGGCTCATTCGTCCATATCTGCATGAGACAGAGAAGAAATGTAATGCTAATTTGTTATTCACTTTTAAAAATAGAGATGTCAAGAAGGGCTTTTTTGGAGTGATGCCTTCGGATAACCACATTTGGGTACTTACAATGGATGGTTTTAGAACGAATAACGAGATGTGAAGGACCTCCACATTCATGTCCATGACAGGAATTACCTACAAAACTATTTTTATGGGTACTGGTGGCTCTTAAATCCTTATATTTTACATAAAAACTTGCAGAAAGAAAGAAAAAAAAACAGAAAAAGCCAAACATTATTAGAAGTATTTTTAATAAAAAATACTAATCGGCAATAGATCCTGATATATTTAGTACTATATATTCCCAGTCAAAACGGCTATATTATTAAAGTTTTAGAGAAAATAGGACTCCTAACAACCTGACAACAAGACCTGGTAGACCACCAAAACTGTCCCAATCGGCTTTCATCTTCGAGAAAGAGGAGAAAATCAAGCTCCACTCTTACTAAAGATCTGAAAAAATCCACAAGTTTCCTGATGCTGAAAAATGAACAACTGGTACTTAATGGCCATTTTGACCAGTACTGTCAACAGTACAGTAGGTTCAGGGCAGTGTCAAAAGAAAGCTCATTATTGCTCTGATACTTCTCTGTAAGATGGCTGTGATAGTTCTAAAGCCTCTTAATACTGCCCTGAATCAAGTCTTTCAGGGATTTTGGTCAGATGCCAACATGCTGACAGAAGTGCCCAGAGGTACCATCATGACAGCCAAGCAGCTAAGAAACTCTCTTACTCAAGTAGAAGCTTGTTGGCTCTGTAGATGACAAAGAAACAACATCTAGCTGTAAAATCTGATACATCTGAAATTTCTACCCAAAATCTAACATGTTTAGATTGGAAAAAAAGCAATGCAAGAATACCAGAGCTCTGTTCACATAAAATTTATTTTTAGCTCCCATAACAGCAGATAATACTGCACTTGCACCACTTTAAATACACTGTCAAAGTTTCGAAGAAGGCAATCTAAGGAAACTACTAAAGAACAGAATAAAAGGCATTATTAAAGTTGAGTATAAAATTTTCCTATATTGGACTTTCAGGTCATTAAGTTCACAGAACTTCAGTTTTCATTGTAGCAAAAGAACAAAGTAAAACACAGTTTTTCTTTTCAGAATAGGCAAAGTATACATTTAAAATTAAAAAAATTAAAACCACACACTTTCACACTTTTTACCCTAGCACACAAATGTTGATAACTAACTAACACACACCACGTAAATCAGCAGTCACACTAGTAATTTGCAGTATGTGTCAACTTGCGAAAATGGCATGACCAAGGCTGGACCAAAAGATTGCCGCCATGCTGGAGCAGTTAGGAAGCTAGCTAACTTGCTAACCAACTAACACACAAGAAAAAAAGGCAAAACACAGAAATAAATATAATTAAAGTGGATAAGTCGATACCTGTGAAAGAATTTACTCTGTTTTGCTGAGTTGTAGCAAAATAAGTGTAGATAACTGGTGTGGTTGGCGGCAGTGGGGTGACAGGTGAGTGCAGCAGCGTTTAGCCATGCAGCTAACTTAGCAGTTAGCAGGCTGGCTATCTTACCTACCATCAAGAGTAAAACACAAAGGTATACACAAGTATACTGGATAATTACATACTGTGATACTGATGCAAAATGCAGCCCAGGTATACAACTAACATGGTTGGCGACCTTGGGGTGACAGGTATGTGCAGCAGCACTTAGCCTAGCAGCTAACCTAGCAGCTACCAAGCTGGCTATCTTGCCAACTGTAAAATGTAAAAGCACAATACTACCTCATACAGTCTCCTGAGTGACTCTCTCTTTTACGTGTTTATTTATAGCCCATAGACAAGAAACGTTAAAAAGCATTTCTTCCATTTTGGATCTTCATCACTGCTACATGAAGCCCCTTCCTGTAGCCAAAGCAGTAGCACAACTGGTTGAGGGCATGTGAAAGTTCACCAAAGTTGAACTTGATGCCAAGTTTTACATGCAAAATTTATTCACTACAGAAGTCTGCAATGCAAAACTGCTCATGTCTGTGAACTCTATTAAAATTAATGCACTTTTGTTCACAAAATTTCGCTGGCAAAAAGCTAGTGTGACTGGGACTCGAGACAACAAATGCTTTTTTTAAAAACATGAAATTAAATTATTTTTTTTGCTGCAGTTCCAGCCCCCCTATATCATGCAAAACATATTAATAATGATCTTCATAAGTGCATGGGAACTATTTTTTTTTTCAAAGGTATTATATTGTAAGTTTTGTAATTGTTTTGCCTCATATTGCTACACTTCTGAAATTGACAGCGCATTAACAAAGTTCTTACCTGCAGCTAAAACAAGAATTTGCATAATTTTTGCACGTTGTAGCTGTCACAGTTATGACTTTCCAAAACTGGATCCAAAAGCAGATTAATAAATATGAAGCGTAAACTTCAGCAGACATGATCTGTCTTTTGTCCTTTGATATATCCTGTAAAAACACTTTGACTGCACCAATTGCTTTAAACACACCAGTACCATGTTTTTTAAAAAGACGATTTACACATCCTAATATAAGGCCACCTTAGGCAAGTGCTGAAAGTTCATTTACGTACATGCACTCAAGGTTGATTAGAAAGTATTTACAGTAGGACATGACAAGGACACAACTTTATGACTAGAAGGTTAGAAAGCCTAAGGGTGCAGAAAACCTCAAGGTAAACAAAGTTTGTGTTCAAGATTCCAGTTATCGTGTATCTTAAAGCACCAAGTCACAACTTATTTTAAACTCAAATTAAAATCCTCAATCCTTGACCATTTGTTTGAAAGCTGAGGCAGATTTGGTACAGTTACCTCTAGTAAGGTTCCATGCCCATAGTGACAAAGCCTTTAATTACTTAAGAGCAAATAATTACCTGTAACGAACAGTCTGAGACCTGTACTCAAAGTAACATTTAACATGTAACGCTTTGGGTTTTCTGGCTTTTGGTCTGAGACACTGGAGGCATCTATGACTACATGACTTCATATCAACTTATACAACACGCTCCATGTCCCAACCTTTAAATTCCAGATAGCTTATCAATAAATAAATGACATCAGACTGCTAGTTTGTAGTGTGCTCTTCTCGGCTTTGCAGCAACATAAAAACATAAAGTCTCCTGGGTACCGAGGAACATAAATCCACTTTTCTGAGGTAATCAAAGATGTTGTATTGATCCAGCAAAAGGAACCATAAAAAAAACAAACATTATTGCAGATATGCACGTTACAAAAACAAAAAGTCATTTTTGGTGCAGGATCCATTTTTGCATAAGAAAAGTAGGCCCCAAGAAATAGAAGTAAAGGGAATGGAGTTTTCTTCTCTATACAGTTGATCTTCATGATGATGGTTACTACCTCAAACACGATCTCAGATCTTTCTCCATAACATCAGTCCAGAGGGGAGAGAAGCACAGGCACAGACTGGCCCCCATTTAGGAACGAATAAATGGATGTCCTATTCTGACAGCCACTTTTTTCTTCCTTACGTTTTTCCATTTAAAAAGTTCTTTCAGAAATTCTTGAAAATCTCTAGATCCTTTGGCGGCACCGGAGTGTCCTTCTTCCATTCGTCTTCAGGGTAGGTGTCAAAGTTAGATGTGTCACCTTCGTGAGACACCTTAGGAATTATGGGTGGCTTTGAGGAGAAAGAGAAAAAAAAGAGCAAGACATTAAGACATTAAAGAGAGAACACTGACAAAATTGTAACACATGGCTTCTGTAATTATGCCACCACAGAAACCGCCACAGCGTGCTGGAAACTATCTGGGCCAATATCCAGGCTCTATAAAGATAAAAGGATTTTAAAAGGAATGGCACGATAGTCAACATGTAGCATTATCAAGCATGTTGAGCTGCATATTATTATTATTTTAGTGTTCTACTGAATTAGTTTAAACTGTGGCCCCAAGACATAAATCCATTAACTGAGATGGTAATAAGCTACATATATACAAAATCATCATTTATAAGGTACTTTCGATTGGGAGGTTGCTGTCCCAAACCCTTACCCTAAAACCAAAAAAAATGTAAAAATAATACTTACATTTTTTATTGATTTATTTTTCTATTTTTTTATTCCTTTTAAAGTGCAGTTGAATGATTTAGCTTTAATTAGTTAGCAGGATAGAGTCCATCTAGATATCTTATTTCAGCTTGGTTATGTTTAATGGCCTATAGATCAGTGGATAGGCTAGCAATCAAGATTGGTTTATACCACAGGGTTTCACAATGGTTGTACGATATGTTTGTGTTTTGCATGATGAGTATTGTAGTAAGAGAATATTGATGACTGAAAACATGAAAATATACAAACATTGTGAATTCTGTAAAACTAATAAGGCTAAGGGATGCAATTATGTGCTACAGAATACTGCAGAATGCAACAAATAACATATTGAATTCTAATTTTAGGTCAGAATGGCTTTTTAATGGCTTCCCTGTTTTATTGTTTTCTAAAAAAACATTTTTTGGAACATTTGAAAGGCAATGTATATATTTTGAGATGAACCGTTCAGCGTTTTTGGGGCTGATACCGATCGCCTTTCAGCAATAGTCAATACCGATTGAGAGTAGGGCTGGACTGTTAAGGTCTATTCACACCAAATAAGATTTTTTTTGGACAAAACAGATGCAATTTTAATGTAGTGGGAACTTCACACCAAGTCTGAAGTGTTCTTCTGTCTAAACACTCTGAAAACTTCAAGAGTTCCGCTGCCATCCTAACACATGTTCGTTTGGGTTGCAACCATGACAATGGAGCTCTGATTTTAACCCATCAGTACAACCCAGGAACTCCAGCAGGCTCTGATTAAAATTACTCAGCGTCGCAGTCCGTCAGTTTTGGACTCATTAATATACATGTTCATTTTCAAAACTTGCGTTTTTTCGTCCTTAAAAATCAGACTGTAAAAAAACAGACTGTAAATAGGTCTTCACTCCTATAGTCAAAAGTCAAGAGGTCTGTATTTCCATCTAGTGATTGAACAAGGAACTGCAGAGTCCTGTGACTAAGGAGGATTGCTGATCAACCAAAAATATCCAGCTAACAGCATCCTGTGGGCAGCACCCTGTGACTACTGATGAAGGATCAGAGGACGACCAACACAACCTGTGCAGCAAAAGATGAGCAATCGTCTCTGACTTTACATCTATAAGGGTGGATGTAGAGTGGACAGTGCGTGGATACAGTGTTTGAAAACTCCAGCAGCACTGCTGTGCCTGATCTACTCGTACAAGCACAACACACACTAACACACCACCACCATGTCAGTGTCTCTGCAGTGCTGGGAATGATCCACCACCCAAATAACAGATATCAGATAAAAGGGGGTGTACTAATTGAATTGGCCAGTCCATATATATATATTATATATATATATATATATATATATATAATAATATATATATATATATATATAAACATTCAGCTATTAAGGGTAGTACTGAAAGATTCACGATGATCTACAACAATAGTGTTATATTATCTTTATAAAAACAGTTTAATTATATAACCGTGCCATATGGTTTCATATGACTACAAGACTTTACAACAGAGGAAAATGAAATTAGAAAATTAAGAGAGAGGCCATATTTACCTTGAGTCTTCTATTCGGAACTGCCTCCCAATCTACAGACTTGAACCACCTGTGCTTTTTCACGTCTTCTGCTCCATTCTACAAGATAAAAAGGACACGAAAAAGCAGCCCATCACTGACTTTGAAGTAATGGATAAAGGCAGGAAGAAAACTGACAATTGAAACTGAACTGTGAAATATGGAATCAATAAAAGGACTTCTCCCTTTCACACTAAATCAGCCTTTATGTCCGTATGGGATCATAGCCGAATATAAAGTGATAACAATGGACTTTCGCAAGATTCAAGAACGCAGGGTGAAATCATGAACAATGGGTGTAAATTCCTCCAACATGCTCTTTCATCTTCACAATGTCACCCAAAGCCAAAGAGTAGGAAAAGATGTGCAGGCAGACTGCCCACAACAGAAAAATAAAACCTGTATGTCATTAAATCATGTAGAACTTCCATGATGCCTTCTTTGTTTCAACTAACTTCAAATAAAGAAAATAAGGGGAAATTAAAGATTTGGCAGCAATACATGAACACCGAAGTTCTTTGGGGAAACCATATTTGTGATGTGCAGAGAGAGCAAAAGAAAAAAGGTAAAATCAACACTTGCTGTGAATAATCACCTATGAGCTTATTACCATAACTACAGTTGATGGGAAAACGGAAAATGATGCCCAGACATATCCATTCACGCACTCCTCAGGACAGATGACATCACCACAGTAGTATGTAACATATTACAAAAACAGAGAAACCAAGCACACTGCTGCCATCGCATCAAATGCTAATTTGTAAAATATCCTCTATTAAAGTACAATTTAAAACATTGCTTCCATTAGATGGAGAACTGTGGCTGGCAACGTTCACCAAAGCTGGCAAGTGCTACCATTTTCCCAGCTACTATTTTCCCTTCTGACCTGATCACTTCAGCTGAGAGACAGAAGCCTAAACATTGTGAGAGATGGGTGATTTTCAGAGACTCTCTCAACTAATCTTTCCATAGATATGTTCACTTCTCATTTTGGTAATTAAGAAGACCTTTCCTAAGCAGCTAGACCAGGATCACATTTCTTTCCAGGCATACTGTTTGAAAGCATGCTGGGACCCTTTTTAGAGCTTAAGCTGTTGCGGGAATGACATTTTTCCATATTTTATAACAGTAGTTCAGCTAAACAAATGGTTGATACTGATGATAAATTAGCACTCGGCGCTATTATTGTCTATACCCGTATACCAGTATTAGTTTCACACAGCAATATTGATTTTCAATTTTAGCAGTATTGACAGAAAAAACGTAGTTAACTGCAATACACAGCAATACAAGTGATGTGTGATTCATATCATTTTAATAGAACAGTTCAAAATACATAAAAACTAAACTAATTTTCTTTCTGGAAATGTGGTCTCTGTCAAAGTTACTGTTTAAGGTTCCCTTTGGGGTAATTTTAAGGCTTGTAAAATAGAACAAAACAGTTCCAATGTTTCAGTTCAAAAGCTATGTCAGGTTTGTAGAACATTCTGTTAACACTGAATATGAGTCAAAATCTTTATTAAAGCTAACTTAAATACCATGTCCAAAAGTTTGAAGACACCTGCTCATTCAACATTTCTTCTGAAATCAGGGGGATTGACAGGGAGTTTGTTTCTCCTTTGCTACAGTAACAGACTCTGCTTTTCTGGGAAGGATTAACATCAAATGTTGGAACTTTACTGTGAGGATTTGATTGTATTCAGTCCCAAGAGCATTAGTGAGGTCAGGTACTTATGTTGAATGATCACAAAGGCAACACCAACTCACACCAAAGGTATCAGATGGAGCTCCATCACTCCCGAGAATGCCGCCCAAAGCTGGGGGGCTTTATACCTGTCTAGCTGACACTTGGCATTGGGCATGGTGGCCTTAGGGTATCCAGTCTTATAGTCAAAGGGTTTAGTGGGGCTGCAGGTTTTCATTCCAATAAGGCAGAAGCACACATGAGCAATTGTTTGAAGGCTGAGAACAATTCAATCCTGTGTGCTCCCACTTGTTTGGCATGAAAACTTGCAGCAACATTGGCCCTTTGTGGATAAGATTGGACACTCCAGGCCTTAGGATCATGTGCAACTGCTCCAGAGTGTCCCATTCTATTGCCACTGCTTTTCTATGGAGATTATACAAGTTGTGTGTGCACAGTTGCAATGAGCGCATCTGAGTTCATTGATTAAAAAAAGTTTCTAGAGAATTTTCTCTATTCTCTATTCTGTGGGGTTGTTATTGTACTCAAATGAGATAAGGTCAGCTGACTGTGAAAGAATAATGCCATGCTTACCTTCATGTTCCCAAGTCTTCTTGCCCGGTCAATTACCAGAAATTTCTTGATGAGATCCCTGAAAGGACAAACACAACAACAGAAAGGACTCAAGCTTCCTAGGGATGCATGATCAAAATCGGCCAAGATCAGAAACAGCAAATTTTTACTCCAAACACGCATTTGGCAATTAGCCAATTTATTATTTTTTATTATTGTTGATCTGTGTTGCAAAGTTACGGAATAACAATGAATAACGCAAGTTCCCTCATGCTGTATTTGAATGCTGCTGCTTCACCTATATGGCAGAATGTTGTAGTATATTCATATGAGTCATTGTGATAAATAGTTGCCTCTTACTTTCAATGTAGCATAACTCATTTTTTTCTTAGCTAATTTAAAATGCACATTAAAATGCCCATACCCTATATTTTTCTTATTTGTATCTTTTTTTTTTGAGGTCCACTTATAATGTTTGTGTGGGTTTATGTATCAAAAAAAGACCATTTTCCTCTTTTATTCCATTATAATTAAACAGTCTGTTTTTGTGTCTGTGCCAGTATTAACAGTATTTGCTGGCCATAATCTTTGGGCCTTCAGACGGCAGTGCATTAAAAACAGACATGATTCTGTAGTGGAAATTACTGCATGGGCTCAGAAACACTTCTGAAAACCACTGTCTGTGAAAATAGTTTTTTGCTGCATCCACAAATGCTAATTAAAACTCTTAAATGCAAAGAAGAAACCATATATAAACTGAATCGAGAAATGCCACCACCTTCTCTGGGCCTGAGCTCATTTAAAATGGACTGAGGGGAAGTGGAAAAGTGTCCTGTGGTCTGACGAATCGACATTTGAATTTCTTTTTGGAAATTATGGACACTGTGTCATCCGGCTAAAGACCACTCAGCTTGTTATCAATGCACAGTTCAAAAGCCAGTATTCATGATGGTATAGGGGTGCATTAGTACACATCTGTGAAGGCACCATTAATGCTGAACGACATATACATGTTTTGGCAACATATGCTGCAATCCAGACAATGACTTTCTCAGGGAAGGTCTTGATTATTTCAGCAAGACAATGTCAAACCACATTCTGCATGTATTACAACAGCATCGCTCTGTGTTAAAAGAGTCCGGGCGCTAAACTGACCTGCCTGCAGTCCAGACCTGTCACCCACTGAAAACATCTGCCGCATTATAAAATTAAAAATAAGACAAAGGAGACCCTGAACTGATGAGCAGCTGAAATCTTATATCAAACAAAAATGGGAAAACATTTCACTTTCAAAACTACAGCAGTCAACTTTTTTGGAACGTGTTGTTCAATTCAAATTTGGCATATATTTTTCAAAAAACAATAACATTTCTCAGTTTCAACATTTGATTTGTTGTCTTTGTACGATTTTCAATGAAATATAGGGTTTAAATGATTTGCACATCATCGAAATTTGTTTTTATTTACATTTTGAACAGTGTCCCAACTTTTTTGGAAATTGGGCTGTACCCCATTTATAGAACATGGTTATAAAAAATTCCTCACACATCCTACGCCCAGTGCATTTAAATGAAATCTTTGCATGACTGTAGCAACAACAAAACAGGAGTAACAATAATGTTTCTGCAATATACTAGTGTTTCATGACAGCCGTGTAATTTATCTTGAAGGGTTTACATCTTGGAAAACCACATGTTCCTCGCTTCTGGGAAATAACAGCTTGACAATTTGGAAACACTCTTAAAGTTTCAACTAAACTGAGTGCAAAAATAGTTTTGAATTAATCGTGGTTGTGATGTCATGTGTTATGATGTAACAGCTTATGCAGTTTAGCTCCACCTTAAAGTGGAGATCAAATTAAAGTGGCATTATTGGCGTGGAAGGAGGAAACCTTCCTATCGGGAAGCAAATACATTTCCATAGAGTTTGCACTACACGGAGGCAGCGTTCTACCCACATGTCAGACTTAGCCACTTACATTCATGATTTATTGCTGCCTTCACAATTCAATTGCAAGTATTCCCATCTCTTGCCATATATTCAATTCTAAGGGCAACCATGTGCATCTTACTCTGTGTGCTGCCAACTAGCCTATTAGCATGTTGACTGCATTATAGGAGCCTCATATTTCCTTTGCTTATTATATTGTCAAGCTAATGTGCGCAGTGCCTCCAGGGCTTGCATTTGTAGTGACCTTAGCCTGCACTCTTGCTAGGCTCAGCACATGGAGCTGCCATGCAGATGCTAACCAGTTTCTCAGAGATAGCTTATCTAGTCTGTCTCTTCAAGCCTCTGCTGACATACAGCCCTGGTTTTACTGATATCTGGCCTACTTTTCACTGTCAAAGCCACAGATATGGTTCCAGTCAGAAAACTGCATTGTGCCCAAGGGTCTGAATCAGTTGAAGTGGCTTCATATGTCTCCAGTATGTGCTGACATGTGAATGTACAAGGCTCCCACAAACCAGGATATAATGCTGATGTGAATGGACTAGGAAGCTACAGCAGCCTCTTTCATGCTAGAACTGTGAAGCTGTTCTTCGGCACGACTGCCTGATTCTGGCCTGCAAGCCATAATGGTGGCAAAAAAGATTTTCATTTGGCTGACATGACAAGATTTATTTTGAAAGTGACATAAATTTCAGCTGATTCCACAGCAAGAACTCTTCTTTTCTTAACACTTCACCCATCACTCAGCTCACCTGATCAGCTGTGCCAAAATATTTTGGGCGCTCCTGTTGTACAGGACAGCATTTTACAAAGTCTCAGAAATTCCAAAGCAGGTTTTATGAGGAACTCATAAGTTTTGCTTTGACAGGAAAGTGGGACTCTTCCTGGCCTTATCTATATTACTTCTACTTGATAAATGTGTAATTTAGGAATAGTTTGGAAAAAAATTTAAATTTTCCCCAATTGTCCTTTTACTCCAAATGTTGTCGATCAGCCAAGACATGTCTGGTGTCTGATGTTTGCTTCTTAACTTTTGCTTTGGAGCTACGAGTCTAATGTAGATAACAAGTAATGGAAGCTTGTGTTTTAGTTATGAGCATCATTCTAACTGCATGCCTAAATCATCTCACACTTCAATATTTCAATCATGTTTCCATATATTTTTCCAAAGTTTAGTCTTAGAAGTTGGTTGTGTTTTCTGCTTCTCATGTTATCACAAATTGAGTAGAAGGATGGACAGAAACACCTGGACAGATTTTTTTCAGATCTGAAGTAAGAGTGGAGCTTGATTTTCTCCTCTCTCTCAAAGATGAAAGCTTTAAGTGCTGTTTATCTGATGGTGACAGTTTTCGTGGACGTTTTTCATTTTTTTGCCTTCTTTTGACTTTGCCCATCCTTCTCTTCTATATTCTATCTATGAAAAATTAATAATACATTATTGGAAATTAAATAAATGAAGGATGGTTTCTGACCTGTGCACAACACTGTGTATATAAAATGGACAAAAATACAGATGGTAAGACAAGGATCAAGCAGTATCTCCACAGGCTGTATGACCACATAAGCCTGAAGTATGGTGTTTTTAGTAGAAGGGTTGACTGTGCTGTGCTCTATGTGGGTCAGAGGGATTCGGGTTGTTAGGAAAAGAGGGAGTAATCAGCTGCATTCCTGCACTCTGCAGCTGTCTCTGGCCTGAGCTAATGGGTTCACATCGGCACAAGCCAGTTCATTACAGGCCATTTTGGTTTGCGTGTGTGGATGCTAACTTATTTGTCTGTGGACTACAGACCAGTTAGCTGTGTACAGGTCAGAAAAGCAAGCCCACCAACAAGCATGCATTAGCAGAGCGGGCAAAGGTGACTTGGTGTACTAATGTCTCTCAAAAACCAGCAATTATGGACTCTCAGGGAACCAGAGCTCAGCTTGATTAATAGACTTGTGTACTTTCTAAGCATATGTTTAATGGAGAGCTCATAATAAAAGGTTAATTAATTTGTCATTGCCTTGTTTGGCTCGAGCTTACTTTACGTAGAAATCCAGATGCCGTGGAAACTCCAGCTTTCCTGCCAGGATTTTCTGATAGATGCCAAAAGGGTTGTCATCGAAAAACGGTGGGTACCTAGCAGAGGAAAAAAAAATACAAACACTGCATTAAAGCGGGGCATTTTAATTACTTCTTCTGACTGATTAAATATATGTACATATATACATTTTAAGGCTTTTAAATAGGAACAGGAACACAGACACTACATCAAGGGACAAAAATGAGAAAAATAAGAACAAATCTAAAAAACACTGATGACGGGAAACCTAATAAATAAAGATATGCATTTTTATAAAAATATTTTTGCTGTCATTGAAAAATATTTGCAATTCTTGTGTCAAAGAGAAAAAGATCAGGAGGGAGTCTTTAGAAAGAATAATGTGGAGTTTGTCTTATTGGCAGGTCCACTGAATTTAATACATTTGTGCAAAATGATGAAATGTAACAGATGATGTGTCTCCGGTTGCTCAGTTACAGAATGGATCTTCCAAATAATAAAAACACTGGTGCCAGAATTCAGCTGGAACTGGTGTGTGTGTGTGTTTGTGTAGGAATGCATATCAGAGGAAGTACTTGTCACAGCATTTGTCACATTATTAAAATCATGATTCACCTTGTGTCAAACAATACACAAACACGAAAGAATGACAGTAATGTATGTTGCCAGTATGTGCCTGGTTATGTATTTGAATGCTGATACTCCAAGTATAATCTTAGTGTCAGTTTCAAAAGGGTAATGTGTCCTTAGTTTACCTGTCTGATTAAATAAAGGTAATGAACAAACAAGTGAACTGAACTGAATTTGAGTGAGTGTGTGTGTCTGTGCGTTAGCCGCCTAAACCCTAAAGGTCTGTATGTGGGTCTACACTTCAGTTATTCTGAAAACACTAGAAAAAAGCTAGAAAAGAGTCTTAGGATTTTTAGTAAATTCATAGAAATTACTGAACAATTCATTAAATTCAAGTAATTTAGAATAATTTATAGTCGCTACTCTGTAACACATAGCTGTTACTGAATAATTCATAGTGGCTACTGAATACATCATAGTAACAAGTCATAGCAACTACTAAATAATAGTAGTTAGTGAATAATTTATATCAGCTATTGAATAATTCATAGAGGCTACTGAATAAATAACCACTTAAAAATTACTAGTTACTAGTGAATCAATCCTAGCAGTTAGTGAATTATTCATAGTGGTTCCTAAATAATTAATAATAGCTACTGAGTAATTCATACTACCAACTGAACAATTTATGGTAGAAAGTAAATAATTCAAAGTAGCTAAAGAATAATTAACCTCACACATACATGCTCAAACGTTATAACAGACAGTCTGGCAAAAAACGCTGGTGAATATGCAAATGAAACGAAAACTTGTGAGATCTAAGTAGAGAGTAAAATGGATGAACTTGTTCAGAGCAAAAGTGCCAACATGCCAGATTGGCAATATTTTGCTTTCTAATCAGCGAGTGCAGAGAACCAGAGCCGTCTGTGCAGGATACAGTAATTATTATAAATAATTTAGTAATGTTAGATATAGTAAACATTACACTCAGGGAAAATGCAAGCTATAGAGAAAGGCTCTGTAACGCTCACGTGGCAGTAACTGTATTTGGATCATGATAATATCACGATAATTCTGCAGACAATATTTTTCCAGAATTATGTCTACAGTACATTTACATTATTATCCAGACTCAGCTGGTGATGTCCCAGGCTTCAAGTGTTACCTGTTTGAGTTTGCTCTGCTTCCTCTCATGTAATCCTGCACAGCGCCACTACAACGGACAAGGCAAAACTGGCCTCAGATCAGTGTCTGGCCTTTTGCACAAATAACCTCCGTTGCAAGGCTATTGTATGAAGTCACACAGCTGAGCAACAGTAATGGATTTAGCAGCAGCTGCTCGATCATACGGCACAAATGTGAATGCCAGAGAGAGAGGGAGACAAGAAAAGAGAGAGAGAAAGAGAGGGGTACAGCCATGTTGGATGCTGGCAACACATGGTAGAAACAGAAATGTTTTGAGTTATGCAACTAAAAAGTCTTTACATAACACTACAGGTGTCGCCAGACCTCCAGAGAGCATAAGTGAGAGAGGGAGTTTTTGTTGTATGTATTTTCATACTAATAATTCAAACTTAATATATACATATATTTTTTATTTTAACTGTTCTGCTGAATTAACTTTAATGTACTGTATGGCTTTGGTAACATAGATCTCTCACCCTGTCACACCATGTAAAGTATATTTGATTTGATTTGATTTGAGAGAGAGAGAGAGAGAGAGAGATAAAAGAAAAAGCATGAGGAAGAGACAGAGAAAGTGAGAGAGACAAGGTATGAGAGAGAGTCTAAGAAGACAGAGGACAGGAGAGAGACAAAAACAAAAAGAGAGAGAAGGAGCTTGAATAAGAGAGACACAGTGAGAAACAGAAACATGCCACCCTGCCTTCACTGCAGTGTCATTCTGGTTTCACTCCCAAAAGTCCCTTTTGTTGTCAAAGATGTGGGACAGCTTTGACCCTCGCTCTGCCCATCTGTCCGTCATTACAGAACAAAGGAGAGATGTTGCATTAGAGGGCTAATGAGTTCGTCATTGTTTCAAGTGCTGTCATCCGTGTCAAATTAATATTTCATATATTTTCAATATGTCATTGATGCGAAGCACCAAATGCTTTGTGCACCAACACTCTTGGGAGGCACCAAAATCTGCTTGAGTACTAAAGGCACCTCCTTGTGAAGAATCTACATCCTGCTAAATGTGAGTAAATTCCAAGCCTGGCGCAAGAAGTGATTGACTTCTAAAAACATTAAATACTTCCAAACCAAACTGCTGTGAGATGCTAATTTTAGGGCACAATTTCTATTTATTTGCTGAGTTTAATACATACAAAAAAATAGTTGCCATAACTTTTGCACAGGCTAAATTTTGTTTTATTTTTCCTCAATCTGTTAAATATTGCAATTGATTATTATTAATTAATTATGATTGTAAAATCTACAGTTAACAACTGACAAGCACATCAGTCAATAAAGCACTGTTTCACTAAAACTACTGAAGTCTGTTTCATTTCTGAACATTCAATTATAACAGACAACATTAACAGTTATAGTTTCTTAAAGTCAGTATTATTCCCAAAATGTTCAGATTAGCCCTAAGACATTTTGTTACTTTTTATTGTGTCATATTTCTCTTAATTTGTTTTCGCACTGTTACAGCAAATGTCCTTTAACATGGAATTGTGTAATATGAAAGAGACAGTCATGTTTCGTGAGACAGCACCTATGCTGACTCGCTTTAGAAGCGTTTTGTGAAAGCCTTCCCCTAACGACTGAAGGCTTAGGCACTCACTTAAACATGGCGAAGGTTCACAGTAACATGCAAAATGAGGCAGAGTGGCGACACAGCTTTGAGACAGGGCCAGAGGGAAAACGCAGTGTCCAACTGTGTCCTTCTCCAAACACTAAGGCAGAAACTTAAGCAGCGTATTGTGCTATTATACTTCCATAAGGGTGTAATAAGTCTGATGAAACATTGACTTGACACATCATGACATCTAGCCCAGACCAGCAGGTAAATGAAATTAAAAGAACAGCAGAATAGCTTTCTTCAAAAAGCTTTTTTCTTCCAGAGATTGTAAAACAATGTTGGTGTTATCTTGCGAAATGTGCTTTTAATATAAGACATAGCGCAAAAATGACCTTCTATAGGCTTCCACAGGGTAAAGAACAAGATCAAAACTGCATTTGGAAACTCTAAGGCAGTGATATAATGTTCTCCAGCAATCCCACTATTATTTCTAACCTACCATAATGAAGAACATATCACTTAGAGCTCGCCTAAGACTATTTTACTCTAGTGCAGATGTTTGAGTTCAATTTATTTATAGATACATAAATAAATATAGGTAATTATTATAGGTACACTAAGCAAGAACCAGAATACTAGCTACCAAGCTGATAGGTAATTAACGATTTTATGTGTAAAGTTTTTAGTACATAGAAATTATTCAGATTTCATTTTGAACTTTAAACTAGTTGCAGATAATACACCATGGAAACATAGGAAAGGTCATTTTTATCATCATTCTTGCTTTAGAAAAACGTCTCATAAAAAAAAAAAACGGACAAAAACTGTAAATTAACACTGGAAAAAATCCACTTTTGGTGGAAAAATACTGAACTTTAATCGGACTGTACAAGGTCTGCGCTAGGAAACACATTTTTGCCATCATTGCAATATTAACTTCTGCAAAAAACACATTGCAAAAGGCTATGATAACAGTGAATCAAATTACATCATGCATATGCTGCGTCAGAGCAACATACATAGATTAGACGGCATGTATGTCAGGTACCTGAATGGGGAATTGAACCCCAGTCGTGCGAGATGGTGGGACTATCCACTATGTTATTCACCTTCATGTTTTGAATTAGTCCAAGGTATTGCATAAAATGCTAGAATTCATCATATCTCATAAGGTTATTGCAATATGCTACATTTTATGCTGCGTTTATATGACAATGGCAAACAGGATAATCCATCTTTTTCTTTCCTTGTACAATAAAACCCTCATTTCAATGAAAACACCATCAGAAAGATGAGCGTGTGTTCAGAACAGCTTTTACAGTAAAATAGTGGCTAACACCAACAACACACAGGCAGGCACTATGACAACGTTTACACGAATGTATACCACTGTCAGTTGCATACACCAACCTGTGAATGCAGCATTATGTCCACATCATGCTTCCCTAGACTGCAGTGGACTGCAGTACTGTATCAAATCAAGCTTTCAGCACTAAGCAGAACTCATACGTCATACATACGTCATCTTTACTGACAAGCCATACGTCATACTTACTATCAGTCCACCCGTTGGAACCCAGATGTTGGATGGTCATAAAGAACTGAGCAAAATGAGTGCTAGTTGACATTCTGGAGGCTGTCCTGGACAGATCAGACTCAGATGCAGACTTTACACAGCTAGACTCTGGAGCTAATCAGTGGAGTTTCCATAGCAAGGCCTTGGTCTGGAGACTTCAATTTCCTTCAGAGTTCAAAGAGGAAGCAATGCCCATCTGCTTTTACAGTGAGGGGATTACATTAGCTCTAGTCTTGGCTAGCTTGGAGTCATCTACAGACATATACACGCACACTGCAACATCCTCATCCTACTCACACACTCACATGCAACCTCCTGAATGATTGCTAAGAGCAAAAATATACACATTTGAAAAAGATCAGTGAAAAAAAAAATCAATGGAAAAATAAAAGAATATAATGAGCTTACTGCAAAATAGGCTGGCATATAATCAGCAAGTTGTTACTCTGCGGTTCATGAAGATACTGTAGGGCTGTCACAACAAAATTTGAGCTTGATAATAATATTGAGAGTAGAATTGCAATGATCAATACCAACAGATACCACAACAAAAAAATGAACAGCTTAGTTAACATGCATGATTTTATAATTTATTCTTTTTATCAGCAAATACTTTTCAAATATTAATTAAATCAAATATGCAGCTAAGTATTTTAAACATAACCTCATTCACGATCTGAAGGGAATATTGACAGTGAGATGATGAAATGCAATACAACCTAACATTCACCACACCATGGAGCATAAACAAAATGGGTTTTGCCTTGCACTGATTGCTTCAGCAATTGAATTATGCAGAAATTTCCCTTGAATGTAGACTAAATACAATGTGAACCTGGTACTAGCTTATTTAAATGAAACTTTGAAACTTAGTTATTGAACTGTTTGCCAGATTTTAATGTCTCTAACTCTAATACACCAGTTGTTGTTGTTTACAGACTCTCTGTAATTCGTCTTTTTAATGGTACACGCAATATCATATTATCATATCATCCACTTCTAATGTTAAATCATGCCTAGACAGATCAAACTAGGAAACTACATATTTTTCCCCTACAAAGCTCTTGCTACATTTCTATGCAAGACCTCTGACAAAGCAGGCATGAAGCACTGGAGCTCTATAAGCCACACAGGCCTGAAGGAGGCTATAGTGCATGTGTGCAAGGAGGGAAAGGGGAGGTAACGTGTGTGTGTGTGTGTGTGTGTGTGTGTGTGTGTGTGTGTGTGTGTCTTCCAAGGGACTGGAAAAAAAGCAGAGGGCCAAGAGCGGGTCTCTCTCTCTCTTAGGACTGAACACTTCTAAAGTGGTGAAGAGCGAGGGTGGGTCACTTTTTCCACTACGCAGTCGTCTATGAGAAACTGTATGGCACATTTAGAGCAGAAAAAGGGCAGGTAATGGATAAGTACATAAGAATCTGAAGTTACTTCTGCACAGACATTTTGTCTTCATAAAAAATCTAGTAACTATTTTATTATTTTTTAAAACCTCTTGAAAAATGACTGCTGCCTACATTATGTAAACTATTCATGACAAACGGACCAACAGAAACTATCCAAACCTGCCTGTAATAAAGTTTTGTTACACTAAAAAGCCATAGTGTAATTCAACATTAATTATAACTCACAGCTCATGGAAGCAATCGGGGAAATTCTTTTAAATGTGTGGACTACAAATTCTTAATCAATACCATATGTGTGTTTGTAAGTGGAAGAGGAGATATTTTACTATTATTTGAATTTTCCTAAAAGTTACACATTCTACATACAGCCCTGTTTTGCAGAAAAAAATAAAGTTGAATGTGTCAATACAGAATACAAATCAGATGTAAATCTAGCTGTCATTATGTAACTATGTAATTAATATGTAAATACAACTATAAGTAAGTATGTAATATGAACTGAACTACTAACTAAATGACAATAACGACTCTAAACCTAATTGCTGTCAGATTTGCCATGTGTACAGTCTTCTTTGCATAAAAATCGTTCCTTTTTTTTGGCATGTTTTGTCATTCGTTGACATAGAAACATCTCAATAAAGGAGGCATACTGAATGTAAATATAATTCACATACACAACTGCATACATAACTAACCATATAATAGTGTAATTACATTTAAATATGAAAACTGACAGTAAAAACTTCTAGAGGTTAAAATTCATAGCTTTTTTCCTCTCCTCCTATAAAGTTACCCTCTCTCAGGTTTTGTTATGACAGCAACAAAATATTTTTGTAAATGTTCTGTATAAATCAGCACAACTGCAAAATCAATACCTACACCTTTTTGTTACATATAGTTTCACTCACACAATAAGCAATGTGCCAGAAGCATCAAGTCCTCCAATGGCATAGTAAGAAATAATAGCACATTACAAAGTATGTATAATCGATATTAAGCAACCTTCATGGAGAGAAAACCTCAGCTTACAAAACGTGCAAGTCATTTTTGTGTGGTTTGCTACGCTGTTATATTTGGACGCAGAATACCGCTATATTTTCTGAACAAACTATTTGATGTCAAGAAAAGTGTAGTTCTTTTAAGTAATGGGATAATTGCCAGGTAGTTTCTCTTTATAATAGCACATTGAAGCTTCTCAAAACAGAGAAAACAGTAGCACTGCTGGGCTAGCCAGCTGAACAATCAGAAATGAAAGCTTGTACTGTGCCGATGGGTACTCCCTGTGGAAAGTTACTGGTGTATTTAGGGGTCAAGTTAGAAACAACAACAAGAAGTTTGTGCTGAATCAGACGATATAAATCACTTGTGTATTGGATCACTACTTTACAGCTGAAAATAACAAATACCACTTCAAGGCTTTGTCCTTAAATAGTTAACTAACAATACATTTTGCAGCTCTACAGCAGACCACAGCTGTCTTAACTGTTTTCCAGTCTGCCCAGTTCCAGATGAGTGCTGCCCTCTAGTGCCAAAACACTTGTAGCTCATCCCCTTTCTGTGTTACCTTTCAGACTAGCTACTGTAAATGTGAACAGTTATATGAATTGAACCACTGCAGCAAATTCTGTCTGCATGCCACATTGCTTTAGATGCAGATTCAACTGCTCCAGAGCTGCTTTCACTTTCAAGGTATTACTTCAAGCTGAGGCTAAACAAGGTTTCACAGAGGAAAATCCCAAATGACAGTGCAATTGAATGTCTTACCCAGCAAGCATCTCAAAGATGAGGACCCCCAGAGCCCACCAGTCCACAGCCCGACCATGACCTTTACTCTGGATGACCTCTGGAGCCAAGTACTCAGGAGTACCACAGAGTGTCCATGTCCTGGAGACAGATAAAAAGAGGAGGACAGAACATTGACTCAAGTTATTGTAATATTTTGGTATTCTGTACGCAGATCTGAAATTAATTATGAAAATGTAATGCTCAAGTGAAACTGTTTTCTTGTAGCAAGAACCAAGAACAGACCTTATCATAATAAATGTCCTATTAAATAATTACAGTGATTAATATTATTCAAATTCTTTATTTAACCATTATTTTAATGCTTCATTCTTTGTGTTACTCGAAAAGCAAAACCACACATAAACACTGTATGATGACAGCAGTTCGCTATTTAGGACAGCTTTGGCCAAACTTGGGTAAGACAACTTAAAATGTATCAGTTTTTGACATATCTAGACTCTCAAAGAGCGTTATCTTGAAATAAGTATCAAACTATATTGCTTTTAGAATATAAAAGTTTCATCATATCTCTTTACTGCTATACATTAGAGGTGGGCAATTTGATGATATTTTATTGCTGTCCTGATAAATGTCATTGTTATCATGACTAATTTTATTATGAGAAACAACAAGCATTTATGAGAATGGATTTAGTGCAATGGGTGAAAAGATTAATAAAAACCACTGCATTTATATAGTTGGACAGCAGTTTTTAAATGTGCATAGTGAAAAAATATCATGATATACTATTTTTACTATTTTCCATATCACCCACACCTACCATGCATAACAAATAAGAGCAATGTACTTTACAGTCTCGTATGTTGCAAAATTTAAGCTAACGTTACTTTCTATTTTGATGCCAGTGTGGTGACTGTAGTGTTCTGTTCATAAGGCTACATAACACCTACATATGCTTGCCATGACAACTGACATAACCCTACACAAATGTTTATAAATGCTTATTCCAATTTGGCAATTTTAATCAGAGTTAACTAAAATAGCCTTTATGACACAATGTCTATTGGAATAAGTATTTATAAACATTTATGCAGGGTTATGTCAGCTGTCATGACAAGCTCACGCAGGTGTCATGTAGCCTTTTGAACAGTATCCTACAGTAAAGTGTTACCAAACTGTTGTCACAAAGGTTTTGTTAATTTTGATAGAAAGGGGGGAAGGCTTGAGCATCCCATCCCTATTCTACACCGTGGTAAGTCATTATCAGCGTAGTGGTATGGACTTTTTCCGAGGTCTTGCCTGCTCGCCATGGGCATTAGAAAGCGCACTGAAATTGCTGTGATATTCGGCAGTGCAATACAAATGCGGCAGATGGAGGTAAGGTTGAAAGATGCTTTGATATTCCTTTAGGGTTGCTTTAAATGCTACTGCTGACTGAAGGTAAATTCTTGGATAGATTGTAGGGCAGAAGAGATATTTGATATGGATATATAATACAGATTTCATAAACAGTAGCTGGGTGGTTTCCATATAACATTAATGGGTGAAAAGTTCACTATGTGTTTATGTAGATCCACCTACATTCCAGAAATTTCAAATGCAGCTTGAACATAAGCTTCTCAATCACACCGCATGCCCTTATCCAGATTTCAACTTGGCTCAAGATTACAGATCGCTTACCTGCTGCTCATTTGCCACAGTACTCTGCTTCAACAGCTTAATTACTGTTTACCTCCACACAAGCATTCTCACAGAACCCTATCACACGATCCCGTCAGTAGGAGTGACAGTGAAGGAGACTGTAATTCCATTAAAGCACAAAAACAAGGTGACAGCCCCTGCGCCCTGCTAACTACCACCGTGCTATCTATCGGTGTTTATCTCGTCTGAAGTGGTAACTGCAAGAATGTCACAACATTCTGAAGACTGTGCTGTGGTTCCATGGATCTGTTAAAGTGGAACAGGGCCTGCTAGGAGAAATATACAGCAATTTTAACAAAATATTATTCCTGATTTGCTCTTTCTGACAAATGATTTTCCAGAATCAGCCAATGAGTATAAATGAGTATTAGTTACATATCTGATTTGAGCAGATACCAGATCCTTCATATTGTCATGCTGACATCACACAATTATATCTTTTTTTGTTTGTTTGCTGAGCGATGTGAGGAGAGGAAGGAGAATCCTGTCCCTCCAGAATGAGCAAGGCCAACCAAGCTCTCTTGGACTCCCAGCCATTGATGGCTGCGCAATCGCCTGCTTTTTATGCGGTTTGCAACCATTACAACTCATATCACATCCTTCTTCCTTGGTGGGGTTATTGGCAGGTTGCAATGCAACTGTAGAGAATGTATTTAGAAAGAAATATTTTTTGACTGACTCATGCAGACAGATTGTTCTCCAACAATCAGATTTCTTATATCAGGGATATCTAAAACTGGTCCTAGTGAACTACCCTCCTGAAGAGTTAGCTTCAACACACCTAGTTCTAATACTCAAACGCTCCTGAAGACCTAGACTAATAATAATAATAATAATAATAATAATATAATAATAATTATTATTATTATTATTATTATAAAAAACAACTTTATTTATATAGCACTTTAGCAACCTCAAGAATACCAGCACTGATATCTCTTCATCTCAATATGGAAAGGCGTATCATTTTATCTTTGTCATTGTTACCAAGATTGAAACTCAAGGATACGTCCAGAAATATGTCCGCCAAAAAAACAATATGGGAGTCCAAGCTGAACAAAAGATTTTTTTCTTCTGCAGGGTGATGCAACGATGGACAGCTAAAAATAATTCTAAACAAAAACATAGATCAGCCATGCTGTCTGGAGACATTGACAGCTTGCTAACATAGTTGTAGTACTGCATGTTGGAATATAAATGTTTATGCACAGATAATGTCATCAGTTAACATACACTTTAGCAACATTCATCCTAGTACACACTACCTCTCTTAGGTCAGTTAGTATCACTACTATATTGTAAGAATGTGAAATGTCAGAATAATGCTAGAGACAATGATTTATTTCAGCTTTTATTTCTTTCATTACATTCTCAGTGGCTCAGAAGTTTATGTACACATTGTTAGTATTTGGTGGCATCACCTTTAAATTGTTTAACTTGGGTCAAACGGGTAGCCCTCAAACTTCTCACTATAAGTTGCTGGAATTTTGGCCCATTCCTCCTGACAGGTCTGTATGCGTCCTTGCTCACACACACTTTTTCAGTTCTGCCTATGCATTTTTTATGAGATTGAAGTCAGGGCTTTGTGATGGCCACTTCTTTACCTTCACTTTGTTGTCCTTTGTTGTACTTTGGAAGTATGCTTTGGGTCATTGTCCATTTAGAAAACCCATTTGCACCTAAGCTTTAACTTCCTGGCTGATATCTTGAGATGTTGCTTCAATATCTCCACATAATTTTCCTTCCTCATAATGCCATCTATTTTGTGAAGTGCCCCAGTCCCTCCTGCAGCAAAGCACCCCCACAACATGATGCTGCCACCCCATGCTTCCCAGCTGGGATAGTGTTCTTTGGCTTGCAAGCCTCCCACTTTTTCTTCCATATATAAAGATGATCATCATGGCCAAATGGTTCCATTTTTGTTTCATCAGTCCAGAGGGCATTTTCTCCAGAAAGTAAGATCTTTGTCCCCATGTGCAGCTGCAAACTGTAACCTGTTTTTTTAATTGCAGTTTTGGAGCAGTGGCTTCTTCCTTGCTTAGCAGCCTTTCATGTCATGCAGATACAGGACATGTTTTACTGTTGATATAGATACTTTTGTACCTGTTTCCTCCAGCATCTTCACAAGGTCGTTTGTTTTGTATTTTTCGCACCAAAGTTTTCTTTCGATTTTCCCATGAGGTCAAGCAAAGAGGCAAGTAGGCCTTGAAGGTAGACCCTTAAAATACTGCCACAGGTACACCTCCGCTTAACTCAAATGATGTCAATTACCCTGTCAGAAGCTTCTAAAGCCATGGTATCATTTTCTGGAATTTTCCAAGCTATTTAAAGGCACAGTCAACTTGGTGTATGTAAACTTCTAACCCACTGGAATTTTGATATAGTGATATATTGATTATACGTGCATAATCTGTTTGTAAACATTTGATGGATGATTGCTTGTGTCATGTACAAAGTTGATTTCCTAAACAGCTTGCTAAAACTACAGTTTGTTGACATGGAATATGTAGAGGGAATAAATATGAGTTTTAATGACTTAAACAAGTGTATGTATCCTCATGACTTCAATTGTTGGTTTGCGTCAGTAATTACTTGTTTATGTAGTTGTTATGTAAGCCTCACTGCCCCACAGTAGGGTGTTACTGCAACATCTTTGACTCAACTATTCCCTTAAAGTAAATGACTGAGTTCAGGAAGGACACAATACAAGAAGCTTCACATTTCCATCCTGCCTCCAACCACCTTCTGTTACACGTGAAATGTACGTCCAGCTTTAGAGTCAAAGTCAAGTGCCTCTGGTTACACGAGGGGGCCGTGGAACAGGGATAGGTAAAGTGATAGCACTCCGCTAGCTTGAGAAGTCTGAAGGCAGATCGATCTGCGTGTGTGGCGACCCATGGGGAGATCAGATGACCTGTCTTATAGTATAGCAGAGCGTACGGGGATTCTTTGTACACAGCTACATGCACAATTCAGTCGAGGATTAAGATGCCGGGAAACACAATGAGGCTATCACGATTCTGCTTCACAGACAAGATCCTTCTTGCTTTGTTTACAGCTCACAAACTATACATGGTGTAGTTCTGAATCGTCGTAACCGAACCAAGATTTTTACGCTATTGATTGTTTGAGACATCTTCTATCAGGTTTCAGGAGCAGGCAGCTAAAGCATCAGTGCAAAGTAATTTCTCATTTGAATCTTAGTGTGTTACTCACGTTGGTCATCGTGATAAAAAAAAATACATAACTACTATAAAACAAATAAAAGAAAAAACCCTAGTTTTCTCATCTCATTACTTTTTCTGCTACAAAATGCTTATAACTGCAGTTCTACAATTTTTAAGAAACAAAGTTTGCTCTTTATTTTCTATTAAATAGTTCTCTGTGCTCACTGATTGTGAAGAGTATAAACTGGATAACACCTTATTCGGACTTTT